TATTTGGATTTAATATGTAACAACGTGAAATTAAATTTATCAAAATGTACTGATATGGTCATGATTGGAAGATAATTTCTCAGTTGTGTACTATTTTAAATTCAGACGTTAAGATAAAGACAATGGCTTTCATGTAAATAATGCATAATAAAGAAATAGCTTGCTATAATCAGTAAAAGAAAATGGTGAAAGCAAAGCTTTACAGACAAAATCTCAGACAAAATCTACAGACAAAAAGAAGCATACACATACACACTCACAAAAAGAGGAAAAGGGGAAAAAATATCTATCTTGCTCCCAAAGTCCACCTCCTCAATTTGGGATGATTTGTTGTCTATTCAGGTATTCCACAGATGCAGGGTACATCAAGTTGATTGTGGAGATTTAACCGCTGCTCCTGAGGCTGAGGGGAGAAATTTCCCTTTCTGTTCTTTGTTCCCATAGCTCCCGGGGTTCAGCTTTGGATTTGGCCCCGTCTCTGCGTGTAGGTCGCCTGAGGGCCTCTGTTCTTCACATAGACAGGACGGGGTTAAAGGAGGAGCTGATTTGGGGGCTCTGGCTCACTCAGACCGGGGGGAGGGAGGGGTACGGATGCGGGGCGAGCCTGCAGCAGCAGAGGCCAGCATGACGTTGCACCAGCCTGAGGCGCGCCCTGCGTTCATCCAGGGAAGTTGTCCCTGGATCACTGGACCCTGGCAGTGGCGGGCTGCACAGACCCCCGGGAGGGGAGGTGTGGATAGTGACCTGTGCTCGCACACAGGCTTCTTGGTGGCAGCAGCAGCAGCCTTAGCATCTCATGCCCGTCTCTGGGCTCCATGCTGATAGCTGCAGCTCACGCTCGTCTCTGGGGCTCCTTTAAGCAGCGCTCTTAATCCCCTCTCTTTGCACACCAGGAAACAAAGAGGGAAGAAAAAGCCTCTTGCCTCTTTGGCAGGTCCAGACTTTTTCCCGCACTCCCTCCCGGCTAGCCGTGGTGCACTAACCTCTTCAGGCTGTGTTCATACCTCCAAGCCCCATCCTCTCCCTGTGATCTGACCAAAACCGAGCCTGAGTTCCCAGCCCTCGCCTGCCCTGGCAGGTGAGCAGACAAGCCTCTCGGGTTGGCGAGTGCTGGTCAGCACCGAGCCTCTGTGTGGGAATCTCTCTGCTTTGCCCTCCACACACCTGTTGCTGTGCTCTCCTTCACAGCTCCGAAGCTTCACCCCTCCACTACCCCCAGTCTACGCCCGCGAAGGAGCTTCCTAGTGTGTGGAAACCTTTACTCCTTCACAGATCCCTCCCACTGGTGCAGGTCCCATCCCTATTCTTTTGTCTCTGTTTTGTCTTTTTTCTTTTGCCCCACCCAGGTACGTGTTGATTTCTTGCCTTTTGGGAGGTCTGAGGTCTTCTGCCACTGTTCAGCAGGTGTCCTGTAAGAGTTGTTCCACATGTAGTTGTAGTTCTGATGTATTTGTTGGGAGAAAGGCAATCTCCACATCTTACTCTTCTGCCATTTTCCTCAACCTCTAATTTTTTTTTCTTAATAATTATTTTTTATTTTAATAATTTTAATTTATTTTCTCTTACTTTATTTTATCCTCTTTTTTTCTTTCTTTCTTTCTATTTTTTCTCCCTTTTCTTCTGAGCTGTGTGGAGTACAGTCTCTTGGGGCCCCAGCCAGGCATCAGGGCTCTGCCACAGAGCTGGGAGACCCAACTTCATGACACTGGTCCACAGGAGACCTTCCAGCTCCATGTAATATCAAATGGCAAAAATCTCCCAGAGATCTCCATCTCAAAACCAACAACCAGCTTCACTCTATGACCAGCAAGCTATAGTGCTGGATACACTATGCCAAACAACTAGCAAGACAGGAACACAGCCTCATGCATTAGCAGAGAGGCTGCCTAAAATCATAACAAGGCCACAGACACCCCAAAACACGCCACCAGATGTGGACCTGCCCACCAAAAAGACAAGATCCACCCTCATCCAGCAGAACACAGGCACTAGTCCTCTCCATCAGGAATCCAACACAACCCACTGAACCAACCTTAGCCACTGGGGACAGACACCAAAAACAATGGGAACTACGAACCTACAGCCTGCAAAAAGGAGAGCACAAACACAGTAAGATAAGCAAAATGAAAAGACAAAAAAACCACACAGCAGATGAAGGAGCAAGTTAAAAACCCTCCAGACCTAACAAATGAAGTGGAAATAGGCAGTCTACCTGCAAAAGAATTCAGAATAATGATAGTGAACATGATCCAAAATCTTGGAAATAGAATAGAGAATGTGCCAGAAACATTTAACAAGGAACTAGAAGAACTAAAGAGGAAACAAGCAATGATGAAGAACACAATAAATGAAATTAAAAATACTCTAGAAGGGATCAGTAGCAGATCAATAAGTGAGGCAGAAGAACGGATAAGTGACCTGGAAGATAAAATAGTGGAAATAACTGCTGCAGAGAAGAATAAAGAAAAAAGAATGAAAAGAGCTGAGGAGAGTCTCAGAGACTTCTGGGACAACATTAAATGCACCAACATTCGCAATATAGGGTTCCCAGAAGAAAAAGAGAAAAAGAAAGAGACTGAGAAAATATTTGAAGAGATTATAGTTGGAAACTTCCCTAATATGGCAAAGGAAATAGTTAATCAAGTCCAGGAAGCACAGAGAGTCCCATACAGGATAAATCCAAGGAGAAACACACCAAGACACATATTAATCAAACTGTCAAAAACTATATACAAAGAAAACATATTAAAAGCAGCAAGGGAAAAACAACAAATAACACACAAAGGAATCCCCATGAGGTTAACAGCTGATCTTTCAGCAGAAACTCTGCAAGCCAGAAGGGACTGGCAGGACATATTTAAAGTGGCATGGACATACATACACTACCAAACATAGAATAGATATCTGGTGGGAAGCAGCCACATAGCACAGGGAGATCAGCTAGGTGCTTTGTGACTACCTGGATGTGGTGGGATGGGGAGGGTGGGAGGGAAGCAGACAAAAGAGGGAGGAGATGTGGGAACATGTGTATATGTATGACTGATTCACTTTGTTATAAAGCAGAAACTAACACACCATTATGAAGCAATTATACTCCAATAAAGATGTTTTAAAAAATAAATAAATAAATAAAGTGATGAAGGAGAAAAACCTACAACCAAGACTACTCTACCCAGCAAAGATCTCATTCAGATTTGATGAAGAAATTAAAACCTTTACAGACAAGCAAAAGCTGAGGGTTCAGCACCACCAAACCAGCTTTACAACAAATGCTAAAAGAACTTCTCTAGGCAAGAAACACAAGAGAAGGAAAAGACCTACAGTAACAAACCCAAAACAATTAGGAAAATGGGAATAGGAACCTGCATATTGATAATTACCTTAAATGTAAATGGATTAAATGCTCCTACCAAAAGACACAGACTGGCTGAATGGATACAAAAACAAGACCTATATATACACTGTCTACAACAGACCCACTTCAGACCTAGGGATACATACAGACTGAAAGTGAGGGGATGGAAAAAGATATTCCATGAAAATGGAAACCAAAAGAAAGCTGGAGTAGCAATTTTCATATCAGACAAAATAGACTTTAAAATAAAGACTATTACAAGAGACAAAGAAGGACACTACATAATGATCAAGGGATCGATCCAAGAAGATATAACAATTGTAAATATTTATGCACCCAACATAAGAGCACCTCAATACATAAGGCAAATACTAACAGCCATAAAAGGGGAACTTGACAGTAACACAATCATAGTAGGGGACTTTAACACACCAGTTTCACCAATGGACAGATCATCCAAAATGAAAATAAATAAGGAAACACAAGCTTTAAATGATACATTAAACAAGATGGACTTAATTGATATTTATAGGACATTCCATCCAAAAACAACAGAATACATATTTTTCTCAAGTGCTCATGGAACATTCTCCAGGATAGATCATATCTTGGGTCACAAATCTAGCCTTGGTAAATTCAAGAAAATTGAAATTGTATGAAGTGTCTTTTCCAACCACAATGCTATGAGACTAGTTATCAATGACAGGAAAAGATCTGTAAAAAATACAAACACATGGAGGCTAAACAACCAAACCAATCTAACAGAAACAAACAAAGATGGAAAAGGAAAAAATAAAATAAGAAAAAGATAGAAAAACAAAAAAAACCCAAGAGAACAAACAAACAGAATAATTAAAAAATGAGAACAATCCAAAAGGGCTCAACTAACATAAAAAAAAGCTGGAAAAACAAAAGAGAAAGCAAACAAGCAAATAAAATAGGAGAAAACATAAAATAAACATACAAAAACAATAAAAAAAATGAACAAAATAAAATTTAAAGAAGAACCAAAAACACAAAAAGGAAAAAAATACACATAACAACGAAAATGTAAAATAAAAATAGGAAAATAAAAAATATATATATTTTAATGAAAATATTAAAATAATAATAAAAACAACCACAACACCAACAACTGAACAAAACGTAACAAGCAATAAAAGAATAATAGTAAGAAGAATATTCTTCTGGGGCCTCCTCTGTCAGTGTCCTTGCTCCTGAAGTGAGCCAGAGCCAATCCTTGCCTCCCTAGGAGGCCTTCCAGTACCTCTAGGTAAGTCTCTGGACCTGCTGTGGGCATGGTGGGACATGTTCAGACACTGACCTGACCCAATTTTTACATGTACTTGTCCTCAAAGTCCACTGCTGCTATGGTTAGACTGGTGGGAACACTCATTGCCTATTCAGGTATTCCACAGATGCAGGATTTACCAAGTCAATCTCAGGGATTTAATCCATGGCTTGTGTAGCTGCATGGAAATATTTCCATTCGTCTTCCTTAGTCACCCAGCCCCTGGGGCTCACCTTTGGAGGCTGGGGCTCATCTTTGGTTTTGACTCCACCTCTACATGTGCACCACCCTCAAATGTCTGTCCCACCCAGTCAAGAGGGTGCAAAAGCAGTGGCTAATTGGGGCACACTTATTCCCTCAGGTGGGGGAGGGTATGGCAGCCACATTTGGGGTACACGCAAGTTGCCTAGGGCAAAGGGGACCAGCAGACAGTTGCAAAAGATTGAGGCATGCTTGCTTTTGTGGGAGTCCCTCCTACTGCCCGTTGAAGCAGGGACTGGCATGTGGGGGCAGTGGCAGCCTCGCCCCTTGCACGCCACTCAACAATGGTGCCCCATTTCCTAGGCAGACCACGCTTCTTCTAGGGGCATTCCCAGGCATGGTGCCCCTTATTCCCATCCCCTCTGTTGTATCCACACAGTCAACAGCAGTCCTCTCCCTGGATCCACTCTCTTAACCCCACACTTTAGCACTCAGCCCTTGCCAGCACTGGCAGATTTCCATCTCAGGCAGAGACACCCAGTACTGATTCCCAAGGAGGCTTTGGGATGGGTGTTGCTCAGGACCCCAAAGCCTATGTGGGTGGAGGATGCCTTGGCTTGAGGGACAGGTGAGCCTACCCAGATGGGAGCCCCTTCCAGTACCTGTGGAGGCTGAAGAAGCCGGCAGGTGGTGAAAAGGGTTGTAAAGGCAGCCCCTCCCCCTGCACATGACTCAACAACAATGCCTTGCTTTTATGGTGTCCTGGGCTTTTCTCACAAACTTTCTTGGTTGTGCAGTTCCTTACTCCTGCCCCTTCAGGATGTCTTTCCACAGCCAACAACTGTCCCTTCCCTGGGTCTGTGCTCCAAACCCCACTTTCCAGCACCCAGATACCCCTGGCAACAGGCAACTCACAACTCACGCTGGGATGTGCAAAGCTGCAGCACAGACTATGCACACAGTCCTTACTTTGCCCTGCCTTCCACAGATCGTCTGCTGCATTCTCTAAGACTCATTATATTTATTTTATATCTCCAAGAGTGCTCATCACTGTGCTAGGCACTTTATAAAGACTTTTTGAAAGCTCTCATGATACTTACTTTAGCATTCTTAACCAATGTATTGTAGATTTGGGAGAAAAAAATTCAAGTCAGATTCTTTCAGTAATAATTTAAATAAGGGTGGTGTCTGTAATGCTTTTTAAGTTCTAAATTTGGAAAAATATATTGGTTCTATGAAGGTTCTCCCTGTTCTCAGCAGCACACATTGAGATAAGTTCCATTATGGGGGTTTAATATCTTGAAACAGCATCTATTCCACCAGAAGGAATAATGTCCCTGAATGCTAAATCCACTAGAGATAATTAAGGTATCCTTTGTGACAGCTGAGTGAGTACTATTTGGGGATTCAGAAGACCTGAGTTCTGGCCTCAACTTTGCTCTTATCTCCTTGTGTGTCTGGGCAAAACACTCTCCCTATCTGGGCTACAGTTTCCTCATCTGTAAAATTAAGGTTCGGGCTTACATGACCTCTATATTTATTTAAAGCTCTTGAAATTAGATTTCCAATTTATTTTATAGAAGGAATTCATGACTGAGCTCTTTTGTCCTTCAGATCTTCCATGTGTATTTAGAAATGAATGTACTTAAACAACCAGACTTCAATTATGGGTTTTGCACTCTCCATTGGTAAGACCTAAAAAATCACAGCAAAGTAGTAAGTATACTGAACTTTGAATCAGATTCTTGGATCCTTTATCTGGCTTCACCATTGACTCACTGTGTGAGTTAACGGTGTCATTTCACCTCGGACTTCAGTTTTCCTCTTGCCCAATGAGGGATACTGCTTGTCTCTCCCACGTTGTAGGGATTTTGTGATAATCTAATGGAATAACAGATGTAAAAGATCTTTGAAAAAGATAAGCTCTTTTTTTTTTCTTTTTTTTTTTTTGCGGTACGCAGGCCTCTCACTGTTGTGGCCTCTCCCATTGTGGAGCACAGGCTCTGGACGTGCAGGCTCAGTGGCCAAGGCTCACGGGCCCAGCCGCTCCGCAGCATGTGGGATCTTCCCGGACCGGGGCACGAACCCGTGTGCCCTGCATCGGCAGGCGGACTCTCAACCACTGCGTCACCAGGGAAGACCAAAAAAGATAAACTGTTTTAAAAATCTGAATTGATGTGGCACCTAACAACAGTAAAAACAATAATAATAATTAACACTTAGTATTCATCATACATTCTCACCACGTCAAGCACATGCTCTGTTATTTTGTTAAATGTAATTTTCTCAGTAAGGACTTTGCTGACCACTCTGTTTATAATTATACACCTCAACTCATGCTTCCATCCCCTTATTCTGCTTTATTGTTTATGGCACTTATAATCTGCTAACATCCTATATAATTTAATTCAATCTGTTATTGTCTGTCTCTGTTCACTAGAATGTATAATCCATAAGGAAAGGATTTGATCTGTTTTGTTCCTTCCTTTTCCCCCAACATTTAAAACTGTGGACTTATACATAGCAGACAGTCAATAAATATTTGTTGAATAAGTAAATCCTGCCAGATAAACCTGTTTTCTTCCCATCTATGTACATACAGTATCAGCTTCTGTGAAATCAACACCTTTTTTTTAATCCAGAAGAGTCAGTCTTTGTGCTATGCAGGTAGCCTGTTGGCAATCTTGTTATCTTAGAAGGTACTGAGGAAAGATGAGGCTTTTTCTTTAGACATAATCAGCCTTTTAAGGCCACTCTCCCACAAGGTTAGCCTTATGGTTAGGTGAGATAGGTAGTTATTCTCTTTTAGGGGGATTGCTTAATGTAATGTTTCACCTTGTGGTCCAAAACCATGTCTACCATGTATTAACTATGTGACTTTGATCATGGTACTAGAATATCTTCAGTCCTCTGTTTTCTCATCTTTGTGATGGAGACTATAGCAGTACTTTCCTCATAAAGATTTTGAATGGCCAAATAGGACATTATACACAAAGCACTTAACCCAGTGCCTGGAACATTGTAAGAAACAAAGCAAAGAAATAGTAGTCTTATTTATGTGATGTCATTGGGGATGGTTTCTAGAAAGACTTCCAAGTCTCTCCTTCACTGCTGAAAGTATGTATGGCCTTCTATAAACATCCTTCAATCCCCACAAAATGCAAATTCCATAAGGCACTTATCTATGGAACCTGAGAATATATGTATACTCCCATGCCTGGGCGCTTGATGAGGAAGGGGAGTGGAGGAATATCAGGTGGAAAGGAGGCTAAAAATTCTGAAAATGCACTTCACCAACTTCACACAATTGAACTCGCTGGCCTTTATGATTGGAGCTTGGTCCATAGTACTTATGGAAATATTCCTAAGGCAAGTGCTTCACAATAGAGAGTTCTGGGATACTGGAATCCATGCTGTGATTTGGAAGCTTCTCTTCTGCCAACATGCTTTTCATGGATGCCAAATAAGTAGGCAAAAATCTTCCTTCAACAAACTGAATGAGTATATGCTGCATGCACTTAGGCATAAACTTCCAACCCTCCCTTGGATGAAGCTGTAATTCAGCAATATCACATCCCATTTATGGATGAGAGATATTCTCTGGCTTAGAATTTCCTCCTGACTGATTTCCTTTGTCAGATGAAAGGAGAGGCTACCTTGGCTTAAACATCACCTCCTCAGACTGATTGATCACATGCAAAGGAAAATCAAATAAACTCCACCCTCACACAAGACATCAGTGGGGTGTCACATTTCAGGCTGGAAATCATACCCCAACAAGAGTGCTCTCCCCTGGGATGGCAGACACAGGCTACCACATGCCTATTTGGCTTGCTTCCAGATGGTGTGTGTTTGGAGTTACTCATGGGAGATCATTAACCTACATAGGAGACATTTGTTCCCTTTTGCTATTTCACTTAAGATAGAGCAGAGATGAGTTTCAAAGAGAATGTTTCCATCTATCCACAATGCCAAGGGACAAGTATTACCTGTTCTGCCTCCAAAACTGGATGGATATGAGCATAATGGAGTCAACTCGACCCTTGAAAGAGATGGTCTGAATGAAAATACAGCATAAAGTCACAAAGATGAGTTATTCAATTTACTCCTCTGGAAATTAATTAGGATACACACACACACACACACACACACACACACACACACACACACGCACACATATTTAGAATGCTGTTTGTTCTGAATTGGAGGAGAGTGGATATGTATCCATGATTGGAAAGGATGTCTATAAATACTCCTTCACTTTTCTAGAGTATTTTACATGCATTATCTTGTTTAAGACAGACAACAGCACTGTGAGGTAGGTCAGACAAATCATACTCCATTTGGGGATTATCAAACTGAGGCTTAGGGAGATTAAATGACCTGTCCAAAATCTTATGGTTAAAACTAAGATGAAAACCCCAGTATACAGACTTCTATCTTTAATATTTTAGAAGTCAGCTATGAATGAGTTTCTCACCACCTTTCCAAGTGGATCTAGGGGAAGAGTTGCTCTACATTGACTGTCATTCCCCTCTGGTAGACATTAACTTATAAGAACCAAATTATGCACTCTCATCTTCTTTTATTCATTCCCAGAACATCCATTATGTTCTTTGGCATAAAGTATTAGCCAGGTAGCAGAAAATTACATATTCTCAGTATAAATACAAAGTGACAATTTAAAGTTCAAAAATCCTAGCAAAAGGACTAAATCTTTGTTTATTATTATGTTTATAAAGAACCAGTTGAAGGGAAAAAGCAAAGATCTAGAGAAAGTTTAATGTCTATGAAAAGCAAAGAGTGGAAGTGTCAAACTTAAGCAGCCTTAATGTTATAAGTTATGGAAGGAAAAGAAAAAAGATGATGAAGGCCCACACCCACCACAAATCTGAGTAACACATTAGTAGCCATAGCTCTGTTTCAGCATTGCCCTTATAGAGCCTTTCTTGGTATGCAGGCTCCTCTTTACCCACACCCCTTCTTTCAGTATCCTGTTTCCTCACTCTTGTCTTTTTACACTATGCCTGATCTCCCTGAGTGATACTTCATGTTTCCACCTCCAGTTCCCCGCTCCATCTAAGATACCCATTGCTTCTTGCTACCCTGTTCCCTTAACTCACTAAGGACTGTAACGTCCTTTCTCTCATAACTATTGAGAAAATAAAAAATAACTTGAATTGTAAAAATCTGCACCGCCATTTGTTGAGCTGGGATAACAGACACAGATAAAGCTAGCTGCAAAGTTAACAGGAAAGAATATTTTCCCAAAACTCATGTTGCAGCTAAAAAAATGTCCTAACAACTCCGTCTTTGAATGACTGCTGTTTTCTTACTGAGGAACATTGTTCTCTAAAATCATTGACTACCAGAAATTTCACTGTTAGAAATTGTATGAATAAGAATGAAATATCCCACTATTGCCTGGAGGATCTAAGTCATTTTGACCAGAGAATCAGCCCTAATTTATGAACCAAGTGCCAGCTTCAGATAATTTTTCCACATCTATTTTAATTTTATTGGTTCCAAGGAAACAGGGCCCTGGTTCCACTTCCACAGTCTAGACCAGATGTTGATTCTTTTACACATAACCTTGCTTTGCTTTGAGCCTAAGAAAACATTGCTTCTTGCCTTATCTCTGCTCCACAATGTCTGGGGCCTTAGCTGGGAAGACCAGGTAGAAGCAACTCAATAGTTGGGATTTGGAATCATCTGGACATTGCTTTACTTACATGTACAGAGCCTGGGCTTAGATAATTCAACGACTAGAAATGCCAAAATGACTGCCTAGATGAGGCCTCTCCGCTTGGCTTGGCTTCCTCATAGCAAAGCAGGCTCGAGGTAGTTGAACTTCTTAATTGATGGCTCTGTGCTCCAAGCATGAATTTTCCATTTAGTAAAGCAGAAACTCATGGCCTTTTATGACAGCCTCAAAAGTCACACAGTATCACTTCTGCCATACTCTGTTGATTGATGAGTCACAAGCCTGCCCAGACTCAAGGGGAGAGGACATAGATCCATCTCTCAGTGGAAGGAGTATTCAAGAATTTGGGGCCATGTTTGAAAATTGCCCCTGGGTGTATCAAGCACATAGTTTTGTAAAAAAGTGCTATGTTAGTATCTTTACAGCAGTTTCAAAGAAGAACCAGATGTGTCTCTTCACCTCAGGGATGATATATTCAAAAAGGATTTACTGATATCTTGCTGTGGAATATTACATATGTCACTTACCCTCTCTGAAACTTTTTCTTTATCTGAGTAATAAAATAATAAATTTTATCCATCAACTCCCAACCATTATAGAGTTAGAAAAATAAAATCATGTCATCATGGTAGCCAGCCTCCAAGAGAGCTCCTAATAATCTCCACCTCCACATTCCCTTATGTAGTCTCCTTCCACATTATACCAAGGTTAGTCTATATAGCCAATAACATACAGCAGAAGTGACAGTATGCCAGTACCATACTGTCTTGATTACTGTAGCTTTGTAGTATAGTCTGAAGTCAGGGAGCCTGATTCCTCCAGCTCCGTTTTTCTTTCTCAAGATTGCTTTGGCTATTTGGGGTCTTTTGTGTTTCCATACAAATTGTGGAATTTTTTGTTCTAGTTCTGTGAAAAATGCCAATGGTAGTTTGATAGGGATTGCATTGAATCTGTAGATTGCTTTGGGTTGTAGTCATTTTCACAGTGTTGATTCTTCCAATCCAACAACATGGTATATCTCTCCATCTATTTGTATCATCTTTAATTTCTTTCATCAGTGTCTTATAATTTTCTGCATACAGGTCTTTTGTATCCTTAGGTAGGTTTATTCTTAGATATTTTATTATTTTTGTTGCAATGGTAAATGGGAGTATTTCCTTAATTTTACTTTCAGATTTTTCATCATTAGTGTATAGGAATGCAGGAGATTTCTGTGCATCCTGCTACTTTATCAAATTCATTGATTAGCTCTAGTGGTTTTCTCGTAACATCTTTAGGATTCTCTATGTATACAATCATGTCATCTGCAAACAGTGACAGCTTTACTTCTTCTTTTCCGATTTGGATTCCTTTTATTTCCTTTTCTTCTCTTATTGCTGTGGCTACAACTTCCAAAACTATGTTGGATAAGAGTGGTGAGTGTGGGCAACCTTGTCTTGTTCCTGACCTTAGTGGAAATGCTTTCAGTTTTTCACCATTGAGGATGATGTTGGCTCTGGGTTTGTCATATATGACCTTTATTATGTTGAGGAAAGTTCCCTCTATGCCTACTTTCTGAAGGGTTTTTATCATAAATGGGTGTTGAATTTTGTTGAAAGCTTTCTCTGCATCTATTGAGATGATCATATGGTTTTTATTCTTCAATTTTTTTTATATGGTGTATCAAATTGATTGATTTGCATATATTAAAGAATCCTTGCATCCCTGGGATAAATCCCACTTGATCATGGTGTATGATCCTTTTAATGTGTTGTTGGATTCTGTTTTTGCTAGTATTTTGTTGAGAATTTTTGCATCTATATTCATCAATGTTATTGGTCTGTAATTTCCTTTTTTTGTAGTATCGTTGTCTTGTTTTGGTATCAGGGTGATGGCGGCCTTGTAGAATGAGTTTGGGAGTGTTCTTCCCTCTGCTATATTTTGCAAGAATTTGAGAAGGATAGGTGTTAACTCTTCTCTAAATGTTTGATAGAATTTGCCAGTGAAGCCATCTGGTCCTGGGCTTTTGTTTGTTGGAAGATTTTTAATCACAGTTTCAGTTTCAGTGCTTGTGATTGGTCTGTTCATATTTTCCAAATCTTCCTGCTTCAGTCTCAGAAGGTAGTGCATTTCTAAGAATTTGTCCATTTCTTCCAGGTTGTCCGTTTTATTGGCATAGAGCTGCTTGTAATAATCTCTCATGATCTTTTGTACACTGGTCAGAATGGCCATCATCAAAAAATCTACAAACAATAAATGCTGGAGAGGGTGTGGAGAAAAGGGAACCCTCTTGCACTGTTGGTGGGAATGTAAATTGATACAGCCACTATGGGGAATAGTGTGGAGGTTCTTTTAAAAACTAAAAGTAGAACTACCATATGACCCAGCAATACCACTACTGGGCATATCCCCTGAGAAAACCATAATTCAAAAAGAGTCATGTACCAAAATGTTCACTGCAGTTCTATTTACAATAGCCAGGACATGGAAGCAACCTAAGTGTCCATCAACAGACAAGGAAGATATGGCACATATATACAATGGAATATTACTCAGCCATAAAAAGAAAAGAAATTGAGTTATTTGTAGTGAGGTGGATGGACCTAGCGTCTTTCATACAGAGTGAAGTAAGTCAGAAAAAGAAAAACAAATACTGTATGCTAACACATATATATGGAATCTAAAAACAGAAAAAAAAAAAGGTCATGAAGAACCTAGGGGCAAGACGAGAATAAAGACACAGACCTACTAGAGAATGGACTTGAGGGTACCGGGAGGGGTAAGTGTAAGCTGGGACTAAGTGAGAGAGTGGCATGGACCTATATGTACTACCAAACATAAAATAGATAGCTAATGGGAAGCAGCTGCATAGCACAGGGAGATCAGTTAGGTGGTTTGTGACCACCTAGAGGGGTGGGATAGGGAGGGTGGCAGGGAGGGAGATGCAAGAGGGAAGAGTAATGGGGATATATGTATATGTATAACTGATTCACTTTGTTAAAAAGCCAAAACTAACACACCATTGTAAAGCAATTATCTTCCAATAAGGATCTTAAAAAAAAAAAAAGAAGTGATAGTATGTCACTTCCAAGATCAGGTTATAAAATTCTTCATTTGGGACACTCTCTTCCTTGCTGGTTTCCTTTCTCTTTCTTGTATCACTTGATTTGTGAATGAAACAATGTTGTAATCAGCCTTATTGAGAAGTTAGCATGGCAAGAAAATCAGGCCTTCTGACAATAGCTATGAGTGAGCTTGAAATCTCATGAGAGACCCAGAGCCAGAATGATCCAGTAAAGCTGCTTCTAGATTCCTGACCTACAGAAATTGCATCATAATAAATGTTTGTCTTAAGCTTCTCAATCTTGGGGTAATTTATTATGCAGTTACAGAAAATATCATGTAGGAGTACTTCATATGACTATAAAAGAGCATTCTTAAGCTGATGTAGATGAACAAGGCTATTTGGATGTTCTAGCCTTATTAACTAACAATCTCTGTGCATATGCAATTTTAGTTTGATGTGGAACAGGGTGGTATGAGATGTTATTCCTAAAAAACATAAATTCACAGTAAAGAAGGATCTTCATGTGTGGGTTTTCTCTTGAAATTTGTCTGTAAACATAGGTCATTTCACTAGCAAAATACAAGAGAAATATTGAGATGAGCGGTACAAAATAGTGGTTAAAAAAGAAAAAGTCCTGGAAGCAAGGAACCAACAGATATAAATCCTAATCTCATTTCTTGCTCATCAGTTGTGTGACCTTGGGCTAGAGACTACCTCCCACTGAATCTCAGTTTCTTTATCAGTAAATAAGAGAAGAATCAACTATATTAGTGGGTTTTGAAACTTTTTGACCATGGCTCACAATAAGAAATATATTTTACATTACAATCCAGTCCACATATATGAATATATGTATCTAAATTTAAATGGAAATGTCCTGATACAATACTTTATCATTTCTGCATGAGATGCATGTTAATATTATTTTCTGTTCTATTCTCTTCCATAAAAGTCCCACTAATCATAACCTACTAAATTAACTTTATGAGTTGTAGTTGAAAATATAGTTCTACTGGACTATAGATGTTCTATGAAGAACTGTGTCTAGAGTTCCATGATTCTAAGTAAGGAACAAATCTTACTGAGGGCAACAGATCCAGCCAAACACTAGTGCCTTCTACTAAGAAGATGAGTTAAGAGTGAAAGGAAATTGCCATATTTGTAGCAAAATAAAAATAGTGATGGCAGAAGGAAGTCAAGGATACATTCGAACTTGGCTATATAAATTTATACGTTTGATTCTTCATTATTTCTAAGGTAGACCAGAATCAAGGACACTAGTGAAGGGAATTGAATACCTGGGTCATCTGGTTAGGGCACCTTTCTCCTTGGACAGATCTGGAAAGACACTGAAAAATTGTCCCTTTTTGGGTTCATTCTTTCCTAAATTCCTTTCAAACATAGATCTCTTTTGTCAACACATTATCTCTTTCCACAAAGTATAATACTGTTGATTGAGGCACAGCAAATGACATGCTAACACATTCCTGAAATTACACACTGAGCACCTTGATTTAAATTTGGATAGAAATGAAACAATTTAGTCATCCATTTATGAAGTGTTGCTTTGATTACACTGTCAATACTTTATAATTTTTCATATTTAGGGAGAATATTATCTTAAATTTGGGGAATTTTTTAGTCATTAGACTAATGTTTATTGAGTATCTCCTAGAGGCTAAATCTTGTCCTAGGTGCTGGAGATGCAACATTGACTAAGGCAAAGAAGATCTCTATTCACATGGAGCCTTCACTGGTGTTGTTCCAGTGAACCAATTACATTAACGTGTACTTCTATATGCTGCAGGCAGTGTTAACCTACTTTTTGACCTGATTAACATAAGGTACTTAGAGGGAAGGGAATTGAGCTTAGTGGAATATATCTTATAACCTAAGGAAAAATATATAAAGACTATGTAGATCCAAGTAAAATGGCCTGGGGCAGGGGGAACATGGATCTTGTTGTCTAATGACCTGCAACCATTTGCAGCACTGCAGCCACTAAAAGCCAGGAAATTTTAGTTACAGTATCTCGAACATTAATCCATTCACTTTAAGAAACTTATGTAATCCAATCAACAAGCAAGGTCTACAGGGGCCCTGGATGAATATTCAAGATTTCAAAGGTACAATGGGAGAGTTAGCTCTGAAATATGACTGATTGAAACAACTTCCACCTAGGGTGACTGAGGCTCTGACGCACATACACATGAAAGGGAAAAGGAAAGAAGACTAAGTGGACATCGTTTATTCTAACTGTTCTGGGTGTTGCTTTCTGAAACTACATAAATAGTGCAAACTTTGTAACTGGGTCTATGAGCACATTGGCTAGACCTCTAACTTGTTTTGACTTCAGGTAGTATATTTTTATTTATTCTTTTTTAAAATTGTTTCCCTACTAGACACCAAGGTCACACTGAATCATTGTGTGTACGTGCTATTCTTTCTCTTTTGAAAACTTGAAGTGATGTACCCCTGTCATATTTGATGTTTGGTCTTTGTGATGAAAGGAATAGAAGTGTCTTTGTTTCATGCATTCAAAAAGAGCTGGATGGCCAGGGTGGGTGTGCTTTCAGGCACATCCCTGCATCCCAGGTAACTTGAATTTCCTGAATTGTATCAAACTATAGGACACCAGCCCTCCTCAAAGGAATATCTGCTAGCAGCTGCCAGCTGCAAATGTGTGGTCTCAAGGCCTCCTCCTGGAAGTACTCAAGTCAAGGATTTCAGCCTCCAACTAATACTTTCTTAACCAGCACCTTTACTTCTTGCCAGCTCCGATGATAATTCTTTGGAAAGAACTCATGGAACTAAGTGTAACATTGCAGATTTTGCCTTTATAAGGCTATCCCACCCTCACTTTGTAGTCCAGTGGAAGAAAATTCAAGTGCTTCTGGAATCTGTGTCTCCCAGGCTCTAGTTTTCAGTTTTGCTCAAATAAAACTCTCTTCTACTCTCATTATGAATTGTATGTTGATTTTCCCCATGGACACAATAGAAATTAACCAGTTCACTTAGGTTGTTTCCATCTCTGGGCTATTGTAAATAGAGCTGCAATGAACATTTTGGTACATGACTCTTTTTGAATTTTGGTTTTCTCAGTGCCCATCATCGGATGAATGGATAAAGAAGATGTGGCACATATATACAATGGAATATTACTCAGCCATAAAAAGAAACAAAATTGAGCTATTTGTAATGAGGTGGATAGACCTAGAGTCTGTCATACAGAGTGAAGTAAGTCAGAAAGAAAAAGACAAATACCGTATGCTAACACATATATATGGAATTTAAGACAAAAAATGTCATGAAGAACCTAGGGGTAAGGCAGGAATAAAGACACAGACCTCCTAGAGAACGGACTTGAGGTTATGGGGAGGGGGAAGGGTGAGCTGTGACAGGGCAAGAGAGAGTCATGGACATATACACACTAACAAACGTAGTAAGGTAGATAGCTGGTGGGAAGCAGCCGCATGGCACAGGGATATTGGCTCGGTGCTTTGTGACAGCCTGGAGGGGTGGGATAGGGAGGGTGGGAGGGTGGGAGATGTAAGAGGGAAGACATATGGGAACATATGTTTATGTATGACTGATTCACTTTGTTATAAAGCAGAAACTAACACACCATTGTAAAGCAATTATACCCCAATAAAGATGTTAAAAAAAAAAGAAATTAACCAGTTCAAATGGAAAACAAAACAAAATAGATCAAATAAACAACAACAAAAAAGAACAAGCCAAACCAACTCAAAATCCCAAATTTGGTCAACTGGAAAATATTATCAACTAAATTGGAAACGCTTGCAAATGTACGTAGCGTTCTGTACAACTACATGTTAGCACTTTTGGTAGAGAAGCCATTGTTGGGCAACACAACAGGCAACAGGGCTAACAACTTCAATTTTAATTTCAAGAAGAAAAATAATATAAAATGCCCAAGCCACTCTCAATCTTCTTGCCCAATTGATTACTGAAACACAGCTCAGCAAAATCTGTCCCTGCAATCTTGGTGGTCATTTATATCCTCGTGAAAAACCCTGGGAGGGCATCAAGGCATTTGGATGATGCAACAACAGAGCCCAGATGTAAACTTACCGCTTGATGTGCTGGATGAATCCATGGTGGGAGAACCAATCAGATTGCACAGAAACTGCTGACCAACTGTCTATTTATTCTTTTTAACTGAGATAGCATTTAAGATCTGGTCCCATAGCAACTACTTTGAAGTGTATAATACAGTATTGTTAACTATAATCACAATGCTATGTATTAGATCTCCAAAACTTATTCATCTTCAAACTGCAAATTTGTATACTTTTATCAACATCTCCCCATTTCCCCCATCCCCCAACCCCTGGTAGCCACCAATCTACTCTATGTTTCTATGAGTTCAGTTTTTTTAGAGTCTACATATAAATGATATTGTCTTTGTCTGTCTTATGTCACTTAGCATAATTCCCTCAAGGTCCATCCATGTTGTTGCAAATGGTAGGACTTCTTTTTTTTCTCTCGTAGATGCATGGTAGGTAGGTAGATAGATAGATAGATAAATAGTTAGATAATCACAGATAGATATCACATCTTCCTTATCCATTCATGCATTGACCAATGGATATGTTTTTTTTCCATATCCAGTGGATATGTTACAGTTTTTACCATAGCTTGGCTATTGTGAATAATGCTGCCATAAACATGGGAGTGTAGATGTCTTTTTGATAACCTGTTTTCATTTATTTTGGATATATGCTCAGAAGTGGTATTGATGGATCTTATGATAGTTCTACTTTTAATTTTTTGAGGAATCTCCATACTCTTTTCTATAGTGGCTAAGTCAACTAATTTACATTCCCACCACAGTGCACAAGGGTTTCTTTTTTCCACATTCTCATCAATACTTGTTATCGCTTGTCTTTTTGACAACAGTCATTCTAACAGGTATGAAGTGATACCTCCTTGTGGTCTTAATTTGCATTTCCCTGATGATTAGTGATGTTGAGCATCTTTTCATTTACCTGTTAACCATTCATATGTCTTCTTTGGAGAAATGTCTATTCAGGTCTTCTGTCCACTTATCAATTGGATTGTTGGGAGTTTTTGTTATTGAATTATATTAGTTCCTTATATATTTTGGATATTAACCTCTTTTCAGATACATAGTTTGAGAATATTTTCTCCCATTCCATAGGTTGCCCATTTCATTTTGTTGATGGTTTCCTTTGCTGTGCAGAATCATTTTTAGTTCAATGTAGTCCCACTTATTGATTTTTGCTTTTATTGTTTGCACTTTTGGTGTTATATCCAAACAATCATTGTTAAGACAAATGTCAAGGTTTTTTTTTAACCTATGCATTATCTAAGACTTTTAAGATTTCAGGTCTTATAATTAAATCTTTAATCCATTTTGAGTTAATTTTTGTGAATGGTGCAAGATGAGATCCAATTCATTCCTTTCTTGTGGTTATCCACTTTTCCCAACACCATTTATTGAAGAGACTTTTCTTTCCACATTGAGTATTTTTGACTCTCTTGTCAAATATCAGTTAACTGTATATGCAGGGATTTATTTCTGGCCTCTCGATTCTGTTCCATTGATGTAAGTGTCTGTTTATGTGTCAGTACCATAGTGCTTTGATTATTTTTTTTACTATAGTTTGAGATCAGGAAGTGTGACACCACCAGTTTTGTTCTTCTTCCTCAGGATTTCTTTGGCTATTCTGGGTCTTTTCTTGGATCCATACAAATTTTAGGGTTGTTTTTCCTATTTCTGTGAAAAGCTCCACTGGAATTTTGATAGGAATGGCATTGAATATATAGATGACTTTGGACAGTATGAGCATTTTAACAATATTAATTCTTCTAATCCATGAACATGGCATATATTTTTATTTATTTGTTTCTTTTTCAATGTCTTTCACCAAAGTCTTGTAGTTTTCAGTACATAGATATTTCACCTCCTTGGATAAATTTATTCCTAAGTATTTTAATTTTTTATGCTATTGTGAATGTGATTGCTATCTTTATTTCTTTTTTCAATTATTTTGTTGTTATTGTACAGAAAAACAACTAACTTCTGTATGCTGATATTATATCTTACAAATTTACCGAATTCATTAATTAGTTCTAAAACTTTTTTTGGTGGAATCTTTAGGATTTTCTCTATGTAAGATCATATCATCTGTGAAGAGAAACAATTTTGCTTCTTCCTTTCCAATTTGGATGCCTTTATTTCTTTTTCTTTCTTGATTTCTTTAGCTAGGACTTCCACTACTATGTTGAATAAAAGTTGTTTAAGTGGACACTCTTGTTTTGTTCCTCTTTTTAAAGATAAAGCTTCCAAATTTTCATGGTTGAGTATGATATTAGCTGTGGTTTAGTCATATATGGCCTTTGCTATGTTGAGTTTTTCATCATGAAAGGATGTTATGTTTTGTCAAATGTTTTTATGCATGTATTGAAATGACCATGTGACTTTTGTCTTTCATTTTATTAATGTAGCAGATCACATTTACTGATTTGTGTATGTTAAACCATCCTTGTATCCCAGAGATAAAATCCCACTTCTTCATGGTGTGTGATCCTTTTATTGTGCTATTGAATTCAGTTTCCTAATATTTCATTAAGAATTTTTGTATCTATGTTCATCAGAGTTATAGGCCTCTAGTTTTCTTTACTTGTATGGTCTTCATCTAGTTTTGCTGAAAGGGTAATGCTGGCCTCATAAAATGAGTTTTAGAGCATTCCCTCCTCTTCAATTTTTTTGGAATTTTTTTAGAGGATTGGGGGTTAATTTTTCTTTAAAATTTGGTAAAAGTTTGGTAAAAAACCACCTGAGGTTTTTTTCTGCATGGTGAGGTTTTTGATTACTGATTCAATCTCCTTACTAATTATTTGCCTGTTTATATTTTCTATTTTTCATGATCGAGCCTTGCAAGTTGTATGTTTCCAGGAATTTATGCATTTCTTCTAGGTTATCTAATGTGTTGGCATATAATTATTTATAGTATTCTCTTATGATTCTATGCATTTCTGTGGTACCAGTTATAATGTCTCCTCTTTCATTTCTAATTTCACTTATTTTAGTCTTCTCTCTCTTTTTCATACTCTAGCTAAAGGTTTACCAACTTTTAAAAAAAATACAGCTCTTAATTTGTTGATTTTTCTATTGTTTTTCTGGACTCTGTTTTATTTATTTCCATTCTGATCTTTGTTATTTCCTTCCTTCTACTAAATGCAGTACGTTTAAAATCAAACAAACTAACTTAACCATATCCAGACTAAAGAACATGGGAACCAGATCTCAAAGAAAAGACTTAGCCAATGGCTACAGGTTTAAGATGCTTTTTCTATTCTATTTGTTAATTTATTCATCCTACCAACAGATATTTATTGAAAACCTGCTATGGGCTAAGAAAAGTACTAGCCACTTGGGATATACATAGTCTCTACATTCCTGAAAAAGTGAAGGGAGAGGTGAAAAGAAACCAATGACATAATCAATAAATAAATGCAAAACTAGGGGGAAAAAGAGTCTGAGGAGCAGAATTTTAACCTCTTGCCCTCTTGTATACATTGGGAGGAATCATTTGTGTGCCCTGTTGTGGTGTCTGAAATACCAGCATTCATTTTGGGGGATTCTAGGAAGTTTGTCAGTGTTTCAGATTTCTTCAATAAAGTAAAAATACCCTCAGGGTAAGACATACTTCAAGTATGCAGGCTGTCCCTTTCATCCCTTGTTCTTCCACTACTCCATGTGAGTAAGGCCAATTCTCCTGGCCCACAGAAAGTACAGGGAGAAACAGCTGTCCAAGTTGCTGTGGTCCCAAAAGAGCTTCTACAAATCAACAAGACAATGTGTCTCTGCTATTTTCCATTTCAAAATTCTTTCCAGGCAAAAATATGTACCCATATAATTTTTAAGGTATGTTAAATTTGGCAAAAGTCAGTGAGAAAAACTTTTAATCACCATACCTGGAAGTTCTCAAGACTGTGGGCTCAATTTAACCCTTTCATATTAACCACATCATTTCTGTAAAGACTCCATCTTTTGTCTATGGTACAGACTCCTATCATACTTCTTACCAGACTTGCTCCCAAGATCTCAGTTATATGTGGCTTCATTCCTAATTACTGTTGACTTCATTTGCATATGTTTTTCCAATGTATGACTATAATCATAAACTGAGTCTTAGCATCAGGGTACTCAGGAATGGTTCCTGATCAATTTTGTCTTTACTGGAAATTTCATCTAGTCCAACTCCCAACTGTTTTCTTGTCTTCCCTTACTATTGTGATTAAAATAATGCAAAATATTCCACAGTTCTCTTGGCTTCTACCTAGTTTTATTTTTTTATCTATAATATCTCATGGATTTGCATACTCTTCTAAATTTACTAGCTTAACTTCATTTCTGCAGTCTTGTTTTGATAACTTTTCCTCCTCTAGCATGATAGATTTATCTTTGATCAACATGACCCATTCAACAGTTTCTTCTTCCCTAAATGTCTTTTTTCCTAAAAAGTAGGCTTATTTTAGCCATTTTAATAGCCATATTAGTATAACCTAACATTGATATTAGCATAGTCACCTATTGAACATTATCAATAAATTAAAGTTCATCATTTAATAGCTTATTGTGAAGCAGTTGATAGCTTTTTGGGAGCAAGGATTTTTTTAAGAATACTCCTGGAGCAGGAAAGTGTATGGGATGTAGGTGTAAGTTGGGAGGTGAGGTTATAACAAAGACTAATTTTCCAAACTTCAGAATTCTGCTTTGGATTAGTCTTTCCCTCCCAGGGAACATTTGGTGCTAGTTTCAAAGAAAAAAAATTAAATCTCTGCACAAAGATTTTTAAACTAAAATTTAGCCCAATATATTTCCATGTTC